TCAGGGAGATGACCACAGTGTAGGGCGCACTCCCTATCAGGGAGATGACCACAGTGTAGAGCGCACTCCCCGTCAGGGAGATGACCACAGTGTAGGGAGCACTCCTCGTCAGGTGATGACCACAGTGTAGGGAGCACTCCCCGTCAGGGAGACGACCACAGTGTGGGGAGCACTCCCCATCAGGTGATGATCACAGTGTAGGGAGCACTCCCCATCAGGTGATGATCACAGTGTAGAGAGCACTCCCTGTCAGGGAAATGATCACAGTGTAGGAAGCACTCCCCATCAGGGACGTGACCATGGGGTTAGACCCCATTCCTGGTCACTCTTGTTCCTCGGCCCCGATGCTGAGTGAAGGAGGTCATTCCTAGAGGCTCCTGACTCAGTAAGGGTAGAATTGTGTCCTCAGTTATTTTCTTGTTAAGAGATTCTCGCCTGGTAAATCCCCTGTACTCCCTGGCCTTTGACAAAGATGCCCATGGTTTTCCTCCCCAGCTGTGAAACATCAATTAGTGGTCAGGAAGATGGGTTCCACCCCTGGGGGCTCCTCTGTGCAGTGACCTCTGTGTGTTGTGTACCCAATGTGTAGTTCGGCAAGATGGAGGCTGGAGCCACTGGTCCCCTTGGTCCTCCTGTTCCACCACCTGTGGAGTCGGTAACATCACACGCATCCGGCTCTGCAACTCTCCGGTCCCTCAGATGGGCGGCAAGAACTGCAAGGGAAGTGGCCGTGAGACCAAGAGCTGCCAGGGTGTCCCCTGTCCCAGTAAGTGTGTGGGTCATATAGTTGCATTTACTGGGGCACGTGCCACAGGAGAATAGGTGAACAGCAGAGGTGTAGTAGGTGTTGGACAACCTGTGGTCAGCCCAGGCCAGCATCTGCTTGTCCGAGGATAGCCAGCATAATTCCAGAGGAAAGTGACGTGCACTACGCAATCTCCTTGGGGCAGGTTTGGAGGCAAAACCATCAGGATGGCTACTGCTGGGCTCAGTGAGACCTTGATTTGACAGCTCTGAGCCGTCCAAGTTTCATAGTCTGTGTGGGAGGACAGTCAGGCCAAAGTGTGGAGACCTTGAGGGTGGCCACTCTGGAATGGGCTGACAGTAGAAAGTCCACGAAGAAGGGCCTACTAAAACTATCATTTCAGCTCAGCATCTGGGCCAAGCCAGAGTCAGATTTTACAGAAAACGTGGATGCTAAAAACCAACAAACCAAAGACCTTCCTTAAGGAAGCCGAGTTCATTACAGTGGAACAGAAGGAACCCAACCCTACCGCCACCACGGTGGTTCCGACTCAGCCACTCTGTAGAGCAGCAGAGCACTGTGCCATGGGGCTTGCCAGTCTGTAACTCTTCACGGGAGCAGACAGACAGACAACCTCTTCTTTCTCCTGTGGAGTGGCTGCTGGGTTTGAACCTCCAACCCTGAAGTTAACCACCATGGCTTCTTGATGACACTTAGCATTTGGGATGAAGCTGACTGTAGGGGGCAGGGGGTTGACTTCCATGACCGAGAACGATTTATAACACTTCCAGTTGAGATAAAGTTTCAGAAATTAAGACCATGTCTACATTGCAGACGTATGCCAGTGGTTTTCAGTCCTTGGTTCATAGCTCTCTGCTTCTGTATAGAAAAATCTGTGTGGTTTTTCTTCCCAGGTATAAAACGAAGGTCCTCTGAGTTGTCCATGTCTGTAACATTCCCAGATCCTATGAGTCCAAATCTCCTCCATGAGTGATGGAGGTTCAGGAGATGGTGCTTTCTGGGGGGACATCTGTTCGGGCTGGGCTAGCTCCATGGGCAATGCAATCCTAATAGTGTAAAAGGCATAAAAGAAGGTGAAGTCCTGAGGGGAAGGTCAAGTTGAGGGACTGTTGAGATCCAAAGAATACAACTGTTAATGCAGCTACCAGCACAGGGCATAAGCGAGGGAGAAAGAACCACGAGGCGACTCTGATCCCATATGTGTTGGAGAAGAACTATGCACCATGAGGCATTCAATGACTGGCTTTTTTAAAAGTAGATCATCACACGTTTCTCCCAAGGTGCCTGGGTAGACTTGAACCTCCAATCTTACCCCTACCAGTCAAGTGTATAAACAGTTGGAGACTGACTGATGGAGATCGATGCTCCATGGGGTAGTCGATGGAGTATTTCTCAGAAGTAGATCATCACACCTTTCTCCCAAGGTGCATGGGGAGCAGCCACACCCAGGGGCTCAGATTGGAATAAATCAAGTAGAGCGAGCAGTACGTGGAGGCTGCCATCCCTTAGTGTACCTTCCTCAAGTGGGTTTTCCTGCACCCATGACCTTCTCTGTACTGTCTTGTGTGTGTTCCTGCAGTTGATGGCCGGTGGAGCCCCTGGTCCCCGTGGTCAGCCTGCACTGTCACGTGTGCCGGTGGTATCCGAGAGCGTACCCGGGTCTGCAACAGCCCTGAGCCACAGCACGGAGGAAAGGCCTGCGTGGGTGACACGAAGGAACAGCACATGTGCAACCGGAGGAGCTGCCCTGTTGGTGGGTGGGCAGGGCATGCTGGGGCATAGACAGGGTACATCAGAGTTGGACAGGCCGCATCTCAGTGGGTGGATGGATATCAGAGGCAGATAGGGTGGTGGATAAGGTGTGCTAATAGTGGAAAAGTGTGTCCATGGGTGGGAGGGATTCTTCAGTGGTGGACAGAGTGTGTTGTGGTGTAGGCTGGGCATGTCAGTGGTGGGACAGAATGCTTTAGAGGATGGCTGGATGTATCAGGGTGTGTGAGTGATGGGCTGGGCCCATTGGTTGTGAATGGGATGTGTTGATGGTGGCCGGGACTTGCTCTTGGACCTCTTTTATGTAAGATGGGCTTTGGTCTGACCATTAGGCCAGGGTCATCTACTCAATGTCCTCTGAATAATCATTGGGTTTTCAGTCTGGCTGTAAGTGCAAACAATTATGGACAATAGCTCAAAACCAGAATGGAAATGGAAAAGACTCTGTTCTCACCATGCAAAGACTATTTTTTAAAAAATCACCTGCATTATTAACATATTTCATCACATTTTTATTGTGGTGACTGTAAGTGTTAGAAAGCGTTTCTGCGTCAATGTTCTTCACATGAATAGCCCAGTGAGATGAGGGGGTCTATGACCTGCAGCCTTCACTCTCATCATGTGTGCCTGCACTAGCCACAGGAAACACAAATTGTGACTATAATCTTGGATCGTGTGTAGACCAGGGGCCTCAACTTGCACATTCTGTGGTAATCGCAACTTTTACCTCTTGACCTTATCAATTTAAAGATGATTGCTTTTGGTGATGACCTCGTGTTATGACGTCAGAGAATTCTTCCCTAGTGCACTTTCACGATAACTACTGCAAGGCATTTGGCTGTATGAAAATGAAGTACTTCTCCCAATCTGCAGCATTGTGACTTTTCTGAGTCACTCCTTGTTTGGTTAGAAGGAAGTGATGTTGAGCGTGTGCCTTGCTTCCCCCACAGATGGGTGTCTGTCTAATCCCTGCTTCCCGGGAGCAGAATGCAACAGCTTTCCGGATGGATCCTGGTCCTGCGGGTCCTGTCCACCTGGCTTCCTGGGCAATGGCACCCACTGCGAGGACTTAGATGAGGTGTGGTCTCCCTCCTGGCCCACTGTGGGTGTGGGCTTTATGTGGGCTTGGAGGCCCACCACCCACCATCTCCTTGTCCCCTGCAGTGTGCCGTGGTCACTGATGTCTGCTTCACCGCAAACAAGGCGCATCGTTGTGTGAACACCAACCCTGGCTTCCACTGTTTACCTTGCCCTCCTCGCTATAAGGGAAGCCAACCTTTTGGGGTCGGTCTGGAAGCAGCCAAGACTGAGAAGCAAGTGAGTGCTGTGGGCTTCCTGTTTGATGTTGAAGGTCCCTTTTCTCCTTCTTCCCCTCCTCCTCCTTTATCTTTGTCTCTTCTTTTCCACCTCCCCAGGTTTCATCTACTCCTCTACCGCCTCATTCTTCTTCCTCCTCATCTCCATTCCTTCTCTCCTCCCTCTTCTTTTCCTCCACCTCCTCCCTTGCTTCCTTTTCTGTATTCCACTCTTATTTCTCCTCCTCCTTCCTTTCTTCCTTTTGCTGTCCTTCTCTCTTCTTCTGCCTTTTCTTCCTTCTTCCCACTCTTTTCCCTCCTCCTTCTTTCCCTCTCCTTCTTCCCTCTCCTTCTTCTCTTCTATTCCCTTGTTCTCCTTCACGCTCTCCTTCCCAGTTTCCTCTGTCTCCTCCTCTGCTTTCTTTGTTGGCAATAGTTCAAAAAGAAGGAGGGTGAGGATAGAGAAGACTGAGGCGTACCTTCAGTGTTGATGGGAGAGGGGAGGGGAGGGGAGGAAGCATTTACTTTCCAGAAGCTAAGAGAGAGTGGTCTCAGAGCAGTCCAATCGGTGTCATGAACTAGATCTGAGCTGTGTGCCGTGAACACATGAGGGTCAGGGTCAAGCTACTTTCTTAAATATCAGTAATATCACTGCTAAGCCATCTATTGACTGGGACATATTATCTCTATTGCCCAGTGAGATAACTGAAGACCACTCAGCCACCTCTGGAAAAAGCACGCATTCCAGATGGGTGCCCCCAGGCCTCACACAGCATGTCCCTTGTAGGTGTGTGAACCTGAGAACCCATGCAAAGACAAGACCCATCATTGTCACAAGAATGCCGAGTGCATCTACCTTGGCCACTTCAGTGACCCCATGTACAAGTGTGAATGTCAGACGGGCTACGCTGGGGATGGCCTCATCTGCGGGGAGGACTCAGACCTGGATGGCTGGCCCAACAAGAACCTGGTCTGCGCCACCAATGCCACCTACCACTGCATCAAGGTAGATGGGCAGGATGGGGTTGGGAGGCACTGGGACAGAGCATTTATGGTGACTCCATGTGTCAGAGTGAAGCTGGGTCCCACAGGCTTTTCAATGGCTGATTTTTCAGAAGTAGAGCACCAGGACTTTCTTGCAAGGTGCCTCTGGATGCCTTGACCCTCCAGTCTCTCATTGAGCAGTTGACTGTATTAACTGTGTATACCGCCACAGCTCAAATGCTTAAACTACCCTGGCTCCAGTCAAGTCAGAAATGGTCATTCATGGCAGATTTGAAATGTTACCCATACAGTGAGAGACTTCTAACTTTTCCTTGGTGCACTCTGCATTCCTCACAAATTCCTCTTAGCGATGACAACAGATCCCCGAGTGTACACGTACTTGCCTGTCCTGGTGGGATGAAGGGAGGTGAGGGGTGTAAGTGATGTTGGAACCCCTCCCAGGATCTCTCAGGCATCTTGCCTAGTGAATGTGTGCTACCAGGTCAAGCTCTTTCTCTGTCAATGTGCTTGCATCCCTAGGTCAGTATGAAAAGCCACACAGTGTTCATTCTAGGAACTGGGAGCAAACACCAGGGCTTGATGAACAGTTGTTGAATGAGTAGAAAGAGAGACGAGAAATCAGGAGAAGGAGGCAAGAAGATGATAGAACTGAGGCTCCCCAGGTAGGGTGGAAGGTGTGGAGGCTAACGTGTCTCCAGATAGTTCAAGCTAGTCAATAGTCACTAGTCATTTGTTTTTCTTCACAAAGACCCTGGTGCACTACAGGGTAAGGAAACAGCACGGTCTCCTGGGTGAAAGGAGCTTCCTTGGAACTGTCAAGGGTATACAGGCATGCCTTATTTTATTGTATTTCATTTTAATTGTACCTCACAGAAATGTTTTCTATAAATTGAAGGTTTGTGGTAACCCTGGGTCAAGTAAGCCTATCAGCCTCAGTTTTCCAACAGTATGTGTGCACTTCATGACTCTGTTTCACAGTTTGGTAATTCTCACAGTATTTCAAACTGTTTCATAATATTATAACCCACTAAGTAGAGCATAGTGTAAACACAACTTTTATATGTACTGGGAAACAATCAAACAAAATAGATGGATGATTGACGATAGGTAGATAGAGAGATGATAGATATATAGATAGATAGGTAGGTAGATAGATAGATAGATAGATAGATAGATAGAGGCATAAACAGGTAGATGATAGATTGTTGTTGTTAAGTGCCATCGAGTCGGTTCCGAACATAGCAACCCTGCATAGGGTTTCCAAGGAGCAACTGGTGTGCTTGAAATGCCAACCTTGTGGTTCAAATCAACAAATCAACTTTGCAGTCCAGTGCATTAACCCACAGCACCATAGATAGATAGATAGATAGATAGATAGATAGATAGATAGATAGAGACAGATAATGGAAGATAGATGGATGGGTAGATAGAAGATGGATGGATAGAGGATAAATAGATTTAAAAGTGAGACCATTAGAAGGAGACCCTGCTGCTCCTCTTTGAGGTTTGAATACTGACCCTGCCGCACAGTGGCTGAACCCTTCCAGACAGGGGTCACTGTCCTCCACCAGGACCTTTGAATTCTCTTTCTTAGTAATATTGAAACACTGGTTTGGGACAGCCTCCACCTGTAGAGTTTCTGAGAAGACTGTGGTCTACATGACTCTGTGTAGGGACCGCCTGGGACTTCCGTGGGACCCACATTCATGTCTTTGAAGCAAATGCTTCACTGTCTACTTCTGATATTTCCATTCTCTCCAACGATTACTGTCTTACGGTGTGTTGTTGTTATTAGAGACCATTGAGTTGGTTCTGACTCATAACCATCCCATGTGGGCGGTCCTGAGTCAGCCTCACAATTGCTGCTATCTTTGAGGCCACTGCTGCTGTCACCGTGTCAGTCCATCTTGTTAATGGTCTTTCTTTTTTCATTGACCGTCTACTTTACCAAGCATGATGTCCTTCTCCAAGGACTAGTCCCTCCTGATAACATGTCCAAAGTAAGTGAGATTGAATCTTGACATCCTTGCTTCTAAGGGGCATGCTGATTGTACTTACTCTGAGATAGATTTGTTCATTGTTCGAGCAGTCCGTGGTGTATTCAGTATTCTTTGCCAACACCGTAATTCAAATTCAGTGTAATTGGACTGAAAACAAAATGACTTCTTCTTTGTCTTTGTTTTTAATCTGACATGTAGTACTCACTTACTACAAAGACAGGGATCTGAGAGGATGCCAGGCTCTGTGTCTTGTTTCAGAGCAGACCAGGGACTCCTAAGAAAGGCTCTCTCCTTTGAAGTCTGGGGTGATGAGGTTCACAGTTGGAGGCTCTGGCTGCTGATTTACGAGTTGAGGGGTGTGGGAAGGAAAGGGGCACTATATATTCTGCTCTGGTTTCATCCTGAGGGCTGGCTCCTTACCTCTTTTTGTTGCTGAGACTGTTTGGCAACTTTGCAGACATCCAGAGCTCAGACACAAGTTCCTTTTGTCTCAATTCTCCTTCCCTTCCCCCATCAGAGTCATAAGTCTAGGGAAGTACTTGGAAAGAAAGTCATGTGCTCACCCTGAAACTCACAGGGGCACCATGAGTTGGAATGGACTTGATGGTATCTGGTTTGATTTATATACACACGTACACACATACATGAATTGTTATTGTTGTTGGTAAGTGACGTCGAGTTGGTTCTGACCCACAGTGACCCTGTATAGGGTTTCCAAGTAGCCACACGTGAGCCTGACATCAGCTTACCTTGGGGTTCAAGCTGATTTTGTGGTCTAGGGCGTTAACCCACAGTTCCACACCAGAACTCCTGCATATGAATTATGATGAGCCAATTTTAAGTGAACTTCCTGCCTAAAATTCTACACACAGAATAGCAGATTGTTCTAGAACACAGATTTAGCTCTTGACTATGCCCCAAGGAAACTCATGTGCTTCTGTCTGAGGACATGTCTGAGGTTAGCTTCTTCAGCGCTGTGCTGATTGTCTCATCTTCCTAATCTTACTGAAAGAAAGAGGCCTTCCAGAACGTTTTGTGCAATATTGTTGGTGCTAGTTCCTGTCTAGTTGGTTCGGACTGAAGACAATCCTAGGTACAATATAGCCAAGTGCTCTCCAGTCCGCCCCTTCTTCATGACCCTTGCTATACCTGAGACCGTATTTTCAGCTATTGTGTGAATCCATCTTATTAAATATTTTCCTCATTTTTGATGTCTATTTCCCAAACATGATGTCCTTTCTTGGCAGTTGATCTTTCCTGATTATGTGTCCAAAATAAGGAAGTGAAAGTCTAAGTCATCTTTTTCACTTCTAAGAAGTATTCTTGGCTGCATTTCTTCTAAGACTGATTTGTTCATTTTTCGTCAGTCCACATTCAATATTGTTTGTAGTTCCGCAGTCCAAATGCGTTAATTCTTCTCTCTTCCTTTGTCCATTGTCCAGATTTCAGCTGCATAAGAGACAATGGAAAACACCACAGCTTGGGTCAGAATTAGTATACCTTCTTCAATTGGGTTACAATTATATTTACTTAATTGCAGGATAACTGCCCCCATCTGCCTAATTCTGGGCAAGAAGATTTTGACAAGGACGGGATTGGAGATGCGTGTGATGAAGATGATGACAATGACGGTGTGACCGATGAGAAGGTAGGCTGACTCGGCTCAGGAGCAGAGTGGTCAGGGGATGGCTGGCCATGTCCACACCACTGCTTCTCAAGGGTCACCCGTAGACAGCTCTAGTTACTGTGCAGCCGGTGAACTAGCACATGGGGCACCTGGGACACTCACTCGGCTAGAAACATTTCCAATCACATCGTTCACGTTAACCTTTTCTTTGTCGTGAGATGCCCGGAGTGGGCAAGGCTAGTACCACCAGAAGTGTCTCAGTTTTCTGAGAAAATTGCTGTAAACCATTAATGCCTTCGCATATTAGTACATCCTATGGTGCTAGCAAGAAGCAGCTGCCTGCATTTGAATTCACAGCTTTCCCACCTCTGACTTTCCTTGACTGCTTGGCTCATTTGTTCATTTGATATTTACAAGTCTATTCGCACCATGATGTATATGGTCTGTCAGTTTTGGAGTAGAAAATCTCAAAATGTTGAAAGGGAACAAATGCATTTATGAGTACAACCTGATGTGGCATCAAGTAAGTGTTTCACTAGGGTTCACTGACTTTGTGCATGCTTCGTATGTTTGTTATTGTTACTTACTTTGAAAAAATAAGATATAAGCCCTGAGCAATATGTAAGCAATTCAATAAATACCCATGTACCATTCCTTAAATTCTGTCCTTGCTACTCCCCTGCCCCCCCAGGACAATTGTCAGCTTCTGTTCAACCCCCGCCAGTTTGACTATGACAAGGATGAGGTTGGGGACCGTTGTGACAACTGCCCGTACGTGCACAACCCGGCACAGATTGACACAGACAACAATGGTGAAGGAGATGCCTGCTCTGTGGACATCGACGGGGATGGTTAGTCCTAGCCTCACTGACTTGCATTCATTAGTGCTTGAACCCTTCATGTTTTTGCTTGTCTTGATTGGTTGAGCTCGACGCCAATCCTACTGTGATATACCTAGAGTCGGTTCTGTTTCATGGCACTTGCTTCAGAGTAGAACTTGTGTCAGAGATAAACTCTTGTCCATGGCATTTTCAAGGGCTGATTTTTCACAAGTAGATCACCAGGCCTTTCTTCCAAGGTCCCAATGAGTGCTCCAGTTACCAGTGAAGTGAGATCACTATCTGTGCCAGCCAGAGTCTCAAGATGAAACGATCTATGCAGCGTTCTACTCCTCCTCCCTCCATCCTTCCAAGTGGGCCCACAAGACAGAGCACAGACACAGGACTGCCTATGAGGAGGCTATACCTATGGCATGAGACATTGGTAGAATTCTTACCTTCCATGTGGGAGACCCAGCTTCGGTTCTGGTCAGTGCACCCGTCTCTCCATAGAGGCTCCTGCGCTGCAGCAATTCTTCAGAGGGGCTTCCAGACCAAGACAGACTAGGAAGAAAGGCCTGGTGCATATCAGAAGAGAGATGAGGCTGTCTGTTCCCACAAAGTCTAAGAAACACTATGGAGTGGGTCTACTCAGTCCTAAAGGGTCACTATGAGGTCAAAGCAGTGGGCTTGTTTGCCCTCTCTTGACCTCGACCCTTATTGCTTGACTGCCTCCTCCTGGCTCAGACTCTGCCTGACTGGGAAGAAGGCCCCTTCCCTCTGGACACTTGTCCCCTTTGCATGTGTGCCACTGAAGGGATCACTACTGATGTGTGCTTCTTCCAAGCTCCACTGTTACTCAAATCCATTATCTACTTTGCGATTTCTTCACATAGGTATACCATCTTTTTTGCTGTAGTTAAGTGCCATCGAGTTGGTTCTGGTTCATAAGGACCCTGTATGTGATTTCCAAGGAGAAGCCGTTGGGTTTGAACTATTGGGTAGCAGCAGTCCAATACTTATCCTACAGTGCCACATTGGGACTCTGGTATCAAGTCTTTTCACGGTTGTTTTGCTACAAGCCTGCACTAATGTAGTTTTAAGGAACATACCTGATGGCTAATCCATTCCTAAGGAGCTCTGGTAGCGGAGTGGTTGCAAGTCGGGCTGCTAAAGTCAAGGTCGGCAGTTTGAAACCACTAGTCATTCTGTGGGAGAAAGATGAGGCTTTCCGCTTCCTAAAAGATTTATGGCCTCAGAAACCTGATGCAGGGTCGCTGTGGGTTGGAACCGACCATGGCACACCCCCACCAGCACCTATTCATCCCTAGCAAGGCAGCCTATATCTCTGGGTTCCACTTTGAGGGAAATAACTGGTAGAGCGAGCTCAGAGAGTCACACCTTGCCTACATGTTTAATGACTTCTCCAATGCAGCATTACTCAGGAATCTCCAATAGTTGACTCTGTTTTATACTAAGGAAATGGACTGGAAAGGAAAATGTGACGTATGTTCACTTATTAATCTAATCTGTTACATTATTGCTGTTATTGCTTTTAAGTGCTATGAAGTCGGTTCCAACTCATAGTGACCCTGTATAGGGTTTCCAAGGAGCGGCTGGTGAGTTTGAACCACCAACCCATTATTTGGGGTTGTAAATAAGTATGGCTACAACTTATTTAATGAGGTATGAAAATCGCCTCATTTTTCCTCAATGCACTATGTTTGTGTCTCTTTCTTTGAATGTCTACAGATGTCTTCAATGAGCGAGATAATTGCCCATATGTCTACAACACTGACCAGAGAGACACTGATGGCGATGGGGTAGGCGATCACTGTGACAACTGTCCCCTCGTGCACAATCCTGACCAGGTAACCGGATGTACCAACAAGTCAGTGTGGCTGGGAGGGGTCTGAAATCCTTGTCAGCGGGGTGCATGTACGCGGGAAGACATGTGGACAGACAAGGATAGACGTGGATGTAGTTGGCACAACTACTAATATTAAACTTGGGGGTTTGAACCTTCCCAGTGGCATCCTGGCAGAAAGGTGTGGAAATCTACTTCCATAAAGATTACAGCAAAGAAAGCCCTGAGGAGCACAGTTCTCTTCTAAGTCAGAATAGACTTGACGGTAGCAGGTTTGGCATTTAGGTTTAATTGATGTCATTATGCCTTTATCATCTCCTTTTGGCTATGTAGAATCTTGACATATAGCGTTGTCAGTGATTCTAAGCAGAAACATTTACTGAACTCACAGCCAAGCATGGCTGTTGCATCTCATGGCCCGGGGCCAGAGTGTTGGTGATGTAGCTGTCTCGTTTTCTCTGATTCCCTGACTCAAGTGTTGGGATTGGTGATATTTCCAGGTTTACCTTTGGAAGAGGCACTAACACAGGCCTTGGACTGTATTGTAGCAGATGACATGAAAAGGGACTTTCATTCAGTAGCATTCAGTGTCTTCTTGCGAAGACACACAGTCTGATATAGGAAAGTGACTCATGTAGAAGAATGGAGACTCCGAGATCCCAGTCCCTGCTCTAATGACCAATAGTGTGGGATTTGGAGGGCCCTATCTTCTCCACAATCCCAGCCTCTTACCTTACAAGGTCGTGAACCCTATCTGTTTGCTTTTCAGTTCTAATTCTGGAGTATTCCCACTCCAGCATCTCATGCTCATCACTACCGTCCTTTTCCTCTGTCTCTTCAGACCGATGTGGACAATGACCTTGTTGGGGACCAATGTGACAACAATGAGGACATTGATGAGGATGGCCACCAGAACAACCAGGACAATTGCCCCTACATCTCTAACGCCAACCAGGCAGACCATGACAGTGATGGCAAGGGAGATGCTTGTGATTCAGATGATGACAATGACGGCATCCCTGATGACAGGGACAACTGTCGGCTTGTCTCCAACCCTGACCAGGAGGACTCAGATGGTAGGTATTGTTTCTGAGTCCTTGAGTCCAGTAGAACCCTTCCTGTGACTAGCTCTCATGGTCAGGGATCATCATGGAACTGCTGGTGAGGAGATGCACTTATTCTGGAGGTCCCTGGGCATCGGGTACTGGGAGAGTTCCTTTTCTTCTGTCTGCTCTAATCAGTGCATTTCTGGTTCTTTCTCTGTGTCTGACTCAGCAGATGAGATGCCTCAGGGGTCTGCTTGTGTATACTGGGAAGGGAAAGTGTCAGCATTTTCATTCTAGTCTTTAGACTTTGGACAATCTCTAAGGCAGAAATGTCCATTACCAACCTAGCATGAAGCAGTGATGCAGTGGATTATAGCTGTGAGATCACTGGAGACAAAACAAACCAGAATAGGGAAAACAGTGATATTATCCACAACTAACAAAAATCAGTTGTCTCCAGCAGCAGAGGGGTTTGGGGAGACAAAGAACACCAGGATGCTACAGTCTTCGAAGCCACTGTCTCCACATCACAAGTGAGGGTACAGCTGGGCTCTGTAGCCGTCTGGAGTTGTTTAGCTTCCATTTGTAGATGTCAAGAAGACCTTAGTTCTAGTGGACTCATAGGACCCAGATCCTTAATGACCTATGATAAGGGCTTATGAAAGACGTGGGAAAACTCCAAGTTCTACAGCCTGGAAGACTCCTCCTGGGATTTAACAGGAAGTGTGGAGCTGTTTGTTGAAATAAGAACAGATGGGTTCAGGCTTACACAGCTGCTTGGATTGCGGTGGGTGATGGGTTTGCCACCAGGTGGAGCAGACACAGGAACTTTCACCCAGGAAGGTATTGGGATGGGAGAGAAAAGCACCCTGTCCCCTGCCCCCACTACATGGAAGCATTTCACTATATTTAAGATTTCCTTATGTCAGATTCTGTCCCTGCCACACAGTATGCAGTGCATGCTACTGAAAAGAACTGAAGAGTAGTTTGAGGAACATGCTGGGAGATTCAGACAATGACATGGCATAGCCTGTGGGATGATGGTCATTACTGAGGTGACCTAGTTCCTCTTCCCATATATACCTGGGTGGTATATGGACCACTTCTTCCCACTTTCTCAGCCTCTGTCCACCACCTCCCTGAAACATTTGAAAGGAAGTTCCCATAAAATGGAAGTCTGTATCTCCTCAGGAAAAGTCATTTCTAGTACAACAATTCTACATTTACTACCAAACAGATTGTGGTCAGAGATGATAGAGAAACGTGTTGACAGACATCAGGAAATAATCCGAGTGAAGAAGTTGGACATTGAGCTTCTTATTACCTGACAGACATACAGCCCTCACACCGGTGTGGAATCCAAAAAAATGAGAAGGGTCTCTGGTGGGATTTGGCTCCACTTCTCCTTAGCTGCAGTGTTTACCTTAGCGACATCTTAGGAACAATATTTCAAGGAGTGTCAAGGGTCCTCTGAACATTCGATATAAAGACTTAGAGATCAAGATTTAATCCATAAAACACCACGAAGCATTTCACCTGAATTCATCACGATGTGTCAGCTTTTCTCAGAAATAGGAGGCCAGTGACAAACAGCTCCCTCTGATTCCCTGTTTCTGTTTGTTCTTTATGGATAGGTGATGGGCGGGGTGATGCCTGTAAAGATGACTTTGACAATGACAGTATCCCGGACATTGATGATGTGTGTCCTGAGAACAATGCCATCAGCGAGACTGACTTCAGGAACTTCCAGATGGTCCATCTGGACCCCAAGGGTACCACTCAAATAGACCCCAACTGGGTGATCCGTCACCAAGGCAAGGAGTTGGTCCAGACAGCAAACTCTGACCCTGGCATCGCTGTAGGTGAGCTTCCAAAAAATATTGTTTGTGGGATTTTTGTGATCCAGGCATAGATGATGGTCACAGGCTTCTCTTTAAAACCAGGTGGATGGGTTTGGTGTGGCCTTTCTGGTAACCTCCATCCACTCATTGCTTGTTTGTTGTTGTTGTTAAGTGCTGTCGAGTCGGTTTCGACCCATAGCAACCCTGAATAGGGTTTCCGAGGCTCTAAATCTTTACGGGAGCAGATCGCCTCATCTTTCTCCCGCGGAGCAGCTGGTAGTTTTGAACTGCTCACCTTCCGGTTCGCAGCCCGATTCGTAACCACTACACTACCAGGGCTCCTTAGTAGAACTGTCCAAATAAATAATACTGGTAGAAGAATATGGGGATGCATAAATGTACCTCTTCAAAACTGACTCTGACCCATGGCAACTCTCAAGAGTGTTAATTTTTGGACTTAGTCTATAAAATAAGTACTATGTACTAGAGAAGAATCCTTCCTAACTCTATAAATGGAAACCTCCCCAAACACACACACACACACACACACACTAAAATCACTCAGGAAAAGTTCATGAAACTCACAGAAACAGAGAGTGGGCTGGATAGAGAAGAGCCCATCCTGACCTCTTCATACTTGCATTCATGGAATTCCGGGGACAATTGGGAATTTCCCTAAATGGTATTTCTAACTGCATTCTGTGACTGAATACCTCTCTTTTGGGTCCAGGTTTCGATGAATTTGGGTCTGTCGACTTCAGTGGCACATTTTATGTCAATACCGACCGGGATGATGATTACGCCGGTTTTGTCTTCGGCTTTCAGTCAAGCAGCAGGTTCTATGTGGTGATGTGGAAACAAGTCACTCAGACCTACTGGGAGGACCAGCCCACACGGGCATATGGCTACTCTGGAGTGTCCCTCAAAGTGGTCAACTCCACAACTGGCACTGGCGAGCACCTGCGGAATGCGCTGTGGCACACAGGGAACACAGAGGGACAGGTGAGGGACACAGAGTGGGCAGACATGGCTCCTTGCACCCTACTTCAGAAACACAGTGTATGATGCTTTAACCATTCCAAAGACACCCCAACTTCTGTTTCTATCTCTTTTTACCCAAATCGCAGCCACCATTTTGTTGTTGGTTGTTGTTGAGTTGGCTCCACTCATGGTGACCTTATATAGAACCGAACAAAATGCTGCACCATCTTCATGATTATTGGAGTCAATGGACTCAAACATGATAACACCATCATATTTCATTGAGTGCCTACTTTATGAATGGTGCCATCCATCCCTGCTGCTTTTATGAACACAATTGGACACTTTCTTGCAAATTAGGCACATTTATACCCTCTTCTTGAGACAGGTAGAGCCGGAGTTCAAAGAGTCTGAAGATTTTGCCCAAGGTCCTCAGTGAGAAAGGAGTAGATGCAGATGTGAAGTCTTGACTCTAGCTTGGGGCCTGCTCGCTCACTCTGAGCTGCAAGTTCTTAAGAACAGATTTGGAGGCCACCTGGGAGGAGATTTGTAGTATGAAATGTAGCCACGTGGAATGCATCCTGAGGCCTTGTTTGCATGGGAACATGACACTTCCTCGTTGGTGTTAGGGAATGTGGTTGAAACCCAGGGTGCCAACTGCTCTCATAGTGATGTGTTGTCCCTTTGCAGGTGCGGACATTATGGCACGATCCCAAAAATATTGGCTGGAAAGACTACACAGCCTACAGATGGCATCTGATTCACAGACCCAAGACAGGCTACATAAGGTGAGGGTATTTTGGTTCCTTCCACATGTCTACCAAATGATTCTTATTTCAAGAACTTCTTTCTATTTTATGTCACATTTAAATATTCATAGACACTCAAAAATATTAATAGACAAGTAGAGAAAAAACACACAATGCTAATCTAATTAGCTCTGACTCATGGGAGCAAAGCACAACTGCACTCCATAGGGTTTTTGGTTACTGAATTTTGTTGTTGTTGAAATTTTTATTTATTTATTTTAACTTTTCATTGTGAACTGAGTGATAGTTTACATGGGAGAACATCAGCTTTACAGTCATCCTATCATATTTTGTTTCATTGCAATGACTACAATCCCCTCCATGCATCATTGTTCAACAGCATTGCTTCTATTTCCTCTGTTTTTTTTTTCTTCTTTTTTGGATGTACTTGGTGACTGGTTTTTAAAATAGATCAATAAAGACTTTCTTGTGAGGTACCTCTGGGTGTATTCTAACCTATAGAACCACTGACCTTGCAGTTCAAATGGCTTTGCAGACTGGCACATTAACCCACAGCACCATAGCCTTAATCAACATAAATTCTAGTGTGTTTGTTCCTCCCCAAATTCTTCATGCTTAAGTATCTTCTCTTTTCTGCCTCAAATCTACTGTATATTATTTATTTTTAAAAAGAACATTTAAGACGAGACTTTAAGACTTGTCTTGCTAAAATAATCTGGAGAGCGATGAACATCTCTCTCCCAATTACTACCCCGGGCATGAAAAGACAGTGCAATGAAAATGATTACATCTTTGCAATATGAGTATGCACGGTATTTGGAAGACATATTCATTTTTATTTCTGATGTTTAAACTTGCTGAACTTAAAACACATGTTTGGATACATCTTTCATAATTATCCGCCTCACATACTTTTGTTCTCTTGGCTATATGGCATTTGTAATAATTTTGGATTGAAAGGAAATGTGGAAAATTTAAACGTAAGTGTTTTTGCAAAATTTGACTTCATTAATAAGAACCAAGACTTGGTTGAATTCTGTAGAGATGCTGGGAATAGGTGTAGTTAGAAACCAGTCTCCACAGGTGAGTTGTCAGGTGGTGTAGGGATGTACTTGTTCCTGGGAGAGTCTTCCATTGACTCTCTCATTGCTTCATCATGGGAGCCATGATGCACAGAGCAGGAGAGCACCTGCAGAAGTCTCTGTGGTGCGTGGGAACGTGGTTCAAGCCTCACCCTAGCCATGTTGTGTAAAGCTCCTGCCCCTGCTCTCAAAAGTTTGCAATCTAGTGGAAGGAACCCAGGTGAGCCTGTGATTCTAGATGAAGGCCTGAAAATGTGACTGCATGTGGATAAAATGGCATCCAACTGGTTAAAAAGATACATACGGCTCCACCTGGGAGAGACTGAGGAAGCTCTTCTCTCTGTCAAACTCTCTGTGGACTCTTTTTGCTCAAACACTCCAAGGGTGATGGTTATGCATTGATGTCAGTTAGGAGGAAGGAAGAGAGTGTTGAGTCCATGCTGTGTAACCATTGGCCTGTGGCTGTAAGAGAAACTCGAGAAAGTAAGTATACCACGTCCTGTCCAGTTTGTGCTGAGTCCATGAGCTAAAACCCCAGACTCTTCTGTGCTAATAGCTCTTACCGCGACCCATCTCCCGGTCTCTGATGAATCTGCTTCACAGAATTCCTGCATCTCCTCATTCCCCCTTCTTTCCTTTTTCAGAGTGCTAGTGCATGAAGGCAAGCAGGTCATGGCTGACTCCGGGCCGATCTATGACCACACATATGCCGGTGGAAGGCTGGGCCTGTTTGTCTTCTCTCAAGAGATGGTCTATTTCTCGGACCTCAGATATGAATGCCGAGGTGGGTGTGAGCATCTCTCCATGGGGGTGGGGGTGGCAGCTGTCAGAACACATGCTTACTGTTCCTTTCACAAATACTATAACTGGGGAAGACAAGCCAGGGTCCATTCACAGCAGATATTTTGTTTGACCAGCATGTTTTTTTGTTTGCTTGGTTGCACATTAAAATTGATTGAGTTCCCTAGCAGGACAAATACTTCCTAATTATTCACTGGTACCACCAATCCCCATTTTACTGTATCCTACAGCTTCCTATGTCCTCACCTGCTGGGCTCTTAAAGGGGAGATTACTATGCTTGTTTTAAAATGAGGAAAGGAAAAAGAAAAGAAGGGAGGGATATAGAAAGTGAGAAAGAAATTGAAGGAGGGAGAAAGGATAGAAGGACAAAAGGAAGAAGGAAGGGTTTCCCTTTAGTTATTTCTCTAGAGCATATTTGAGTCATATTATTGTAGACCTGGAAGGGAACTTGAGGTCCCAGTTGGTCTAATGCCATGCCCTCAAGTAGATATGAAAACAATCCCTTTCTGCAGATGAGGTTAGCAGAGTTCAGAGGTAGATCTCTGAAATCACATGCTAACAAGCATGCAGACGAAGAGGTGAAAGGAAGACAAGAATCGTTTCTTCTTGCTTCTGGTGAAGTTTACTTTGCTGATGTTAGGTTGCCTTTCAAGACATTGTATGTTTTCTCAGTTCAGTTGACCATCCATCCATCCACACAGACAGCCACTCATCCATCCATCTACACCTACTTATTCATCTATCCATAGGTATCTTGGATGTCATTTTCTAAATTAAAATAAAGGTGTTTTAGGCTATAGATAAAAGGAAAGAAAACTCAGGGTCATGCTAACCCAGTCTCTCTTGTTCCTTTTAGATGCCTAATCAAGGGTCGCTGCGTTTCTGGCCGTGTACTGTACATTCTGTTCTTCAGGCACCTCAGTTCATCCTGGTTCCTGCAGTTTCTATCTGTTAGCAGCTCCTTCTGTTTCTTGCCCTAACGCTGAGTAACGGTTATTCACCTTCTGTCACCAACCCCAAGCCCAAGTGCCTTCAGAGGATAATTGTTAATGGAACCCAAAGACGAGCGTCCAACCCACCACAGGAAAACACTTGGATAACATATGAGACTCTTTGCAGTGTGAAAATTGAGTAGGACATGCATCGCTTTTTCTTGTGTGTTTCAAAAGAATGACGTTTACATATAAAATGTAATTACTTATTGTATTTATGTGTATATGGAGTTGAAGGGAATATTGTGCATATGCCATTATCATAAATTAAGCAGGAAAAATATTGCTCAACTACTTTCATTGCTTAAAGTTGTCAGTATTCTTTGGGTATTGATGCTCTATCCACTCACTGCCATGGAGTCCATTCTGACTCATAATGATCCTGTATAGGTTTTCTATCACTGTAAGTCTTTATGAGAGCAGAAAGCCTCATCTCTGCTGGTGGGTTTGAACTGCTGACCTTGTGGTTAGCAGTCCTGCAGCACCACCAAGGTTCCTAGAGTTAGTCTGTAGTAACACTCCAATTCTATTAGGTCAGTTATGAAACAGGATCAGGAGTCCTGATGTGATGTTGTAGGATAAGCACTGGACTGCTAACTACAAGGTCGGTGGTTTAAACCCACCAACCACTCCTTGGAAACCCTATACAGGGTCCCTATGGGTTGGAACAGACTCAACAGCACTTAATAAAACCAACAAAACAGGATCAATGCAAGTTGGAATTCATGCCTAAGTAATGAGAAGGTGTGAAGATAGTAATATTATACTATACCTTGACCACAAATGATGTAAGATATCAATTAACTACATGGTGCATAAAGATCCCTGCAAAAATAAACAAATACACTCCATTCTCCTCTTTTTTGTACCATGGAATGAGATGTTGTGTAATCCAGGAAGGACTATCATTGGGAAAAGGATCAATCTGTGTTCCAGACAAGAGCCTGGGACTGGAAAATCTACTTTAAGTGCAAGTTCAACAAAGTGAAGTTCATTAGTCTAAACTGGTCACCTTTGCTAGTCTCTCCTTGAGAGAATTCTTGGTCAGGTTCTGTTTGCTTTTTGCACTTTGGCTGATGGAATTTTTTGCTTGACCTTCTTTTCAGTCTTTGTACTAGAGGATAGAGCAGTGTACATATAAGCAGAGGCACTTTGGCACACCATTTCTACTCTAAACTTTGGAAACGATGGGAAAGTTGTTTTACCCAATTTGCTAACATATTTCTTTAAGGTTCCAGTTATAAATGTTTTGTTACTATTTATTGATTGAAGACAGAATGCAACTTCATTCACCAGTAACTTATTTTAAACATGTCAAGTAATACATATGAAGTATAATTTCTAGAAATACATTTATAATAAGAATATAATAATATATAAATACAGTTACAGCAAGAAGAATGTTTGACAACACACAAGGTTTAATAATATTATGGTGCCATGATAAAGCATGCTGTAAATGTAATAGAATAAATAAGTAATAATGAAGAATTTATAAATGGAACCTTAATATATATTGCTGTCAATAATTTTAATATAATGTTTGGGTGTTATCTATCTGCTGTATATAGGATGTTCTTTTAAAACCTTTCGATGCTGAAGAAATAGCAGCATTTACTTTTACCATACCCACCAGTGAATCAGTCAGCCATTATAGACGCGAGATTGATTTCCTTTTTGCTTTATCTTGCATGATCTTTCTGTAAGAAATATTAGTTATCCCCACTCCAAATAGGGCTTTAAGAAGAGAAGTTTGTCTTGTCAGTCTGATATGGGATGACTGTTTTTCTCATTACTGCTCATAGTGATCTCACTTCTGTGTCAATTAGAAGATCTATAGTGTTTCTCTTAACTACACATTTCATTTCATTTTGATAAAATTACGTCCATTGTTTCCTTTAAGATTTCATTTTTGCTTTGTTTTGCCACACTTCTAACTCTTTTTCTATTTTTATGTAACTGTACTCCCAAGATCAACAATGGTCTGGGGACCCCATTAAATGTAACAGTCCTAAAGAACGTGCAAGTTTTGGGTTTGGGTCCAACAATACAACGGTGAAAGGATGATACTGTTGATACTTAGAGTGTACCATAGTTTTCTGTAAATTATTTATGTTTTTTTTTTTTTAATTAACCAAGTTTCACGTAAAAGTGGATGAAACGTCATTTGTTTGCTAAAGACTGTAAATATTTATTTATTTGTTTACATGGTCCTTCTTCCACCACCAACACCCTGCCTCTAGCTCAAGCCTCTTTTTCATTCTTTAAAGATCAATAACAGGAAATAAATTGTAAAAAGCTTTTTGATAAATGGATCTCTCTCCCTTTTTTGAAAATCGTTGGCAGGGTTTCTGCAGTGGGGGGGGGGGGAAAGGAGGAAAAATTTGGATATGGGGGAGTGAACATTTTGTTTCCTGTTGTCTATACAAGTATGTTGCTTGGTTACAGCTCTCTCTTTTTACCATTCAGGCTAAAAGGCAGGTTAATGGTCTTGAGAAGGTTCACTTTACCCAGGTCTCAGCATTGTGCTAATGCAACCTTTGAGCCATTCACCCTCCTTCCATTCTCACTGTGAGACTAAGGAACAGAACCCTGCAGTGGGCTTGGCAGTAATCCTGGGAGTGACTCAGAAGCCGAACAATGGGAGGAGCACCTCTCTCAGACAGAGGCAAGCTGTGCTTCTCCTCACCCTTAGCCCTTCCAGCTTCAGGAGAGGAGAGTGAAGAGTATGCTGAGTAAGTGTACATTTTATAAGGATGCATGCAAAAGTAATATCCTACTTCTCAGTGGGAGAAAAGAAACACAATGCAGGAGTTTTCATATTTCTTTAGCAGTCCTCTGAATTTTTTAGGATTCATGTATATTGTGGTGGAATCAAATATAGGAAAACATGAAAGAGACAGGAAGAGGGAAGAGAGAAAAAGAAAGAGAGAGGGAGAGTAAAGACAGATAGGACAAGAGAAGAGAAGAAAGAAGAAAGTGCATCGGTTGAGAGAGAGAAACAAAGAAGCAGAGAAATTGAAGAAAACAAGTATGTTTGGCTAAGACTGGAGGAAAGTGAGACTGAGTCAGATGGTGAAGCAATAAGACAGAGGAAAGGCCGTCGGTAAGTGCCTTTGAGTCAGCTGGTTCCGACTCATAATGACCCTGTATGGAGTTTCCAAGGAATGACTAGTGGGTCTGAACCACTGACCTTTTGGCTAACAGTCCAGTGCTTATGCTCCAGCACCCCCCCCACACACACACACACCGGGATGGATATTGTTATATAAATATGGAACAAAAGCCTGGGTCTCCAGAAAATCTTGACAAGTTTAGAGACAAAATGCTAAGATAAGTCATTGTACGTGGGCTGTGAGTAACTATTGGAGGAACCCTAAATGTACTTCTTACTGAGGAAACAGAAGACATTATAGTCATGGTCACATAATACCCACTCAGGCAACATCTGGCTGCATATATGCCTGTGCTCCCATAGGGTCTTAGCAACATTCCAGAGATCCCAACTGGAGACCAGGATGTCATGGCTGCAACCATAATCAACATCTTCTAGTACACAACATGTGTATTTCATATCTCATGTATACAAAGTCATGCTGTGTGAGGTGTACAATGGTACCGTTCATACTGATAATCATAGCAAACACCTGTGGAACTGGCTCATGTATGTACTCTGCTGCATGTCCTGCCATTACGTTCTGTCATGATGTGAACTTCCCTGACTTGGAAATAAAGAGTTTACTCTACAGCAGTGTATGCTTCTACTCATAGGCATCCAATCCTGCATATAATGTGCCTGTTGAGTATACCAGTAAAATCTCTGTTTCACTTTATGGTAGAAATATTATTGTAAAGTGCATTGTGACTTCCCAGTGGAACAAAACCAGTGTTAGCGATAGCAACAGCAAGAAGCAAAGGAGAAGCATCAATTTGGAAGAGGAAACCAGTCAGTGCTGTTGTTCACAGTTTAGGCCTGCCTGGTTGCTAAGTCTATTATATGGTGTTCACATAACATCCCAACCCCATGACATTGTATTTTCACAGAACATATCATGGGTATTAAGTGATGCATATCTCCACATATCCACATACTAGAGGGCTTCAAGGACTTCATGAAAAAATGGAATGAAAAGATACTGAAATTTTACCATGAAATTTGGAAGCCCCTCATATGTGTATTTATATATACATATGTATAGTGAACCATATCATTAATATCACATGCAAATAATACTTTACAGAAGATAATTTAAAAATGGTTGTAGCACTATATCAACAGGGAGATGCCAAATTCAGAAGAGGACATGGAATGAGGGATATTGGTGCTGATGTCAGATGGATCTTGATTGAAAGCAGAGAATATCAGAAAATAATATTTAACTGCGCTTTATTGACTAGGTAAAGGCATTTGACCGTGTGGATCATAACAAATTATAAATAACATCGTAAAGAAGGGGGATTCCAGACCACTTAACTGTGCCCATACAGAACCTGTACACAGACCAAGAGGCAGCTGTTTGAACAGAAGAGGAGATACTGAGTGGTTTAAAATCAGGAAAAGTGTGTGTGGAGTTGTATTCAATCTCTAGGCTGAGTAAATAATCCTAGAAGATGGATTATGTAAAGAGGAACCTGGCATCTGGTTTTGAGGAAGACTAATAGCAACCTACAATTTGAAGATGACGCAACATTGCTTGCTGAAATTGAAGAGGACTTGAAGCACTTGTTCATGAAGACTACAGCCTTTAGTATGGCTTGGACTTCAATATAAAAACAAAAGTTCTCACAACTGGACCAATAAATAACATCATAATAAATGGAAAAAAGATTGAAGTTGTCAATGATTTCATTTTGCTTGGATCCACAATCAATGCTTATGTAAACAGCAGTCAAGGATTCAAGCCAAGTGTTGCATTAGGCAAATCTGACCTCTTTAATGTATTAAATTGCAAAGATGTTCACCCTGAGGACTAGGGTATACTTGACCTAAGCCATAGTATTTTCAATGGCATTATATGCATGTGAGAGTAGGACAATGAATAAAGAAGAATGGAGAAGAATCCATGCACATAAATTATGCTGTTGGCAAAAACTATTGAAAGTAACATCGACTTCTAGAAGAGCAAACAATTCTGTCTTGGAAGTAGTTCCCTTAGAAGTGAGGATGATGAGACTTTCCCTTATTTTGTACATGTTATCAGGAAGGATCAGTCCCTGGAGAAGGATATCCTGCTTGGTACAGTGAAGGGTCAGCAGAAAAGATGAAATCCCCTCAATTAGCTGGATTAACATAGTGGCAGCAACAAAGGGCTCAAACATAGCAGTTATGAGGATGGTGCAGGACCAGGTAGTGTTTCGTTCAGTCATGCATAGGATCCCGATTGGTTGGAAACCACTGGACAGCTGCTAACAGCAACAACATGCATGTATGCATACATGCATATAATATGTATATTTAATAATGTATAAACATATTCCTATATGTTTAATAATGTACACATGAACATATAATATGTTTAATAATGTACACTGTTGTTAGGCGCCATTGAATTCTTCCTGAATCATAGCCACCCTGTATATATTGTCTGAGGCTGTACATTTTTATGGGGCAGAGAGCCTCATCTTTCTCTAGTAACAATAAACATATAAATAATGTGCTTAATAATGGTGCATCGGGGTCACATGTTACAACGATGGTAGCTATTGCTCATACTTTCAGATTTTTGGCAATTCATTGGAATGTGTGAGTTTTCTGAGAGGCAGCTGCATCATCTTGCACCAGCAGTGCTTGCTCCCAACCTGTTTCATGGAGAATGTTGTTTTCATGGTGAAGCAACACTGAGGGGGTACTCGATGTCTGGGGCTCATGTTCTACCCCGCTAGAGACACAGCTGTGTTCAGACTGCCAGAAGCTGTGTTTACTCTGAGAGAAACTGTATTTTCTCCCCTCTATCCTTTTTTTTTTCCCCTTTTTTGGGGTCCTTGTGTGGTGTTGTAAGATAAGCACTGGACCACTAGGTCCTTGGAAACCCTACACAGTGTTGCTATGAGTCAGAACTCACTTGATGGCATGTAAGAACAACATTTCTGCTTTTTGAAGGTCCTGTTATAGATGAATTATGCCCCCCATATATGAGGATGAGTCATAAATTATAGAAATTATTTTAATCAACTTTTAGAAAAGACAAATATATCACTTTTCAACATTATCTCCTTGCTTTTCAATACACTTTGTCCAACAAGCTTTCTCATTTCCTTTATTAAAACCCGTTTTAGGCTTAGCTGTGAGCTACGATTGTACCGCTGTCTTCACTTCTTCATTAGGGGTCAATATTCATTCTCGAAAGGCTGCTTTCAGGAGACAAAACAGATGAAAGTTCAATAAAGCAAGATCAGGACTATGTGGAAGATGCTTTAACACCTCAAAATGAAGTTTGTGCAGAGTGTCAACTGTGTGGGCAGAGGTGTGCCAATGTGCACTGTCATTCAAGATCACAATGACCTTAGATAGAAGTCCTCTGCATTTAATCTCACTATAAGGAGCTCTGGTAGCATGGTGGTTATGAAACGAGCTGCCAATCTCATGGTCGGCAGTTTGAAACTACCAGCTGTTCTGCGGGAGAAAGACAAGGTTTTCTGCTTCCGTAAAGATTTACAGCCTTAGAAACTCTGTACAGGGTCACTATGAATCGGAACTGACTCCACAGCACATAACAACAACACCATAATGAGCACTATTGATTGTTAAACCTTTTTCTTGATAGTGTTCCAATACTGGACCTGGAGAATCTCAGAAAACTGTAAACATCAATTTTCTAGCTGATGTTTGAACTTTTTTCTTGGTTGGTGATTGACGATGTTTCCATTCCATACTCGGTCATTTATTCACAAGTTTGAATCCATGTCTCATCATCAATAATGATTTTTTTTGAAGAAGTTTTTACCTTCTTTTGAGTATTTTTCCAAATTTAGTTTGCAGATGTCCAAATGATTCTGTTTATGCTCTTCCAAGAGTTGTGTCGGTACCCAGCTTGCACAAGCTTTTTGAAATTTAAGTCTGTTGTAGA